TTTTAGCAGTGCAGGAGAGAGTATGTGTATTATTGAATAAGCGCTGCTGGGGTGTCTATGTGAATCAAGAACAGAAAAATGAAATGGATAGAAACAAGATAGAGACTCATTAAAAAATATTACATGAAGTAAGGCTGGGATTCCCCTAAATCTATTTGGGCATCTGTGAACTAAAAGAATTGGGGCGTTTATATTCACTCTCTTGTTTTGCTTTGTAGTTCTATATGTGTGCTTACAGTGTGGTAATAGCCTATGAGCTCGACTTAGGACTTAAATCATGAATCGTATAGTGTGACCCTGATGGTCAAAAAAAGGGGAGGACCTGTTAGGAAGATCTCATTCCCTGTTACACAAATTAGTTTTTAGGGTATGAAATTGTATGAACTTTCTTAAGATGTAGAGAGTTTACCTTGTGTACAGCCCAGTCATGGTTCAGTCAGCATGACTGAAGGACCCCAGCTCATTGCAAGGAGGAGAAGCACAGCCTTTGCAGACAGGAGGAGGCATCAGAGACAAGGAACTGCAGCAAGACCGACTCCAGGGACATCTAGATCAATGCCAATGGAGATCTGGTAAATACAGCTGGTGGAGGGGAGAGACAGATATAGCTCTCCCGACAGCAATGACTCCAGTTGCTCAGAGGAATAGCTCTATAGGCTGTCCTGAACAGAAGGAGCAGGATCAGGCTTCATTGCCCTGAATATGGGCATCTGCTGTCACTTCAGCTGGCCAAAGGAATATCCCACCAGCCTCCAAAATTATGAGCCCAGGCACTGTCCTGTCCCTCTGAATTGCTCCATCAGAGCTTATGGTTACCTGCAAGTGTCTTGGAGCACCTCTGGCACCTCAGGTGTCACCTGTGGTTTGCATGGGTGCAGGAGGTACAGAACGTTCCTCCCTTTCGCTCTCGGGCTGTCCTGTCTCACATTGGGACAAGAAGAGGTGATTCTTGAACCTATCTCTGTCTCTGCTAGGGGAAATGATACTGCTGGAAAGAAGTGTCCCTCCCCAGCCAAGGGAGGAAACATCAGTAAGGACTCCAGCTTGTTTCGCAGTCAGTTTCCTTGGAGCTCCAGGGCTATCTTTGAGGGTACCCAGAGGGGACAGAGAAAGTGCTGCCTTGGACTGGTCCTCTGCTGCTGGGCTGGGCTGGGCCCCTGGGGTGGACGGAGCTCATGGCAAGGGGGCAGCGCTGCAGAGAGACAGCTCTGCCCGGGAGCAGTTCCTCTGCAAAGCACAGCAGGGCTGAGGGTACTGCCTGCAGGCACCCAGGGCAGACGAGAGAAGTGAGAGAGAGGTTGGAGGCAGAGGTGGGAGGACAGCAGAGAGCTCACCAGGGGACAGATCTTCACAGCCCTTGACACACTAAGTCTCTGGTTGCACGGCCATGTAGGTGAGCTCCCAAAAGCGTCCCCTAGACCTGACACATGCCAGAGCTGATAGGCCTTGTCAGGACAGCTCTCCTGGGTTTTCTGTTGTGGAGCAGGAAGACATGCTCCAGAGCAGGGCTCGCCTGCAGCACCATCAGAGGGACAGGGCAAGACAGCTCCTGTCCCCCGAGGATGGCTGCAGAGGTATGAAGCTGGGTGTGCAGCCAGGGCTGCCCAGGGCTGTCCTTCTGAGCAGAGTCCCTGCACCCCAGCACTCAGCCTGCCTGGGGAGCTCCCCACGGCTGTGCCGGGAGGAGCTATGGGTGGAAGGAGCAACCCCCAGCATGGTAGGGCAGGAGTGAGCAGGGCAGGGCAAGGTCTTTCTGCTCTCAGGAGAGTGCTGCACGGGTCAGCGCTTCTCACGGCTTCAGCTCTACCTCATGACATTCTAAGGGGACTTCTCAAGAAGCACATCAACTCACCTAAGGTTGGGAAATGTATTTATTTTATTTTTATTATTTTATTTTATTTTATTTTTTATTATTAGATATACAGTGCTTCCCCTATTTATTCCTCCAAGCTATTAAAATGTGTTCAAACTGTCTCATTTTTCGTTTGAGTGTCACATCTCTTTACAGTGCTGATGTTACGGGTAACATTGGATTGGGTTGTTGATCCTTAAAGAGTAGGTAGCCGAGATTAAAAGCCCACTCTTCTGGGCCCTGTCCCACACACAGAGGGCTAGGCTGGGGCCGGAGAGGCTGGGGGGCTCTCTGGGGTCCCCGCTTTCCCACAGTGCCGACTGTTGGGTGACAAACCCTTCCTGGCGGAGGGGCGGTATGCTTCCTTTCTTTGGTGGAAATTGCTAACATGGGTGCCTGTCCTTGTACCACTGAGAATTTAATGGGACAGATACCCAGGAGAGTTGATGTCTGGTGGAGGATGGGCTTCTAGTGCCTATCCAACAGTTGGGCTGATTTGCCTCTGCTCCTGTAGTTTGGACTGTGGCTATGGCCAAATTATGGAATAAGTACGTGTAATCCATATTCCACCATAGGCTTGTAAGCAAGGCTACCGTATGAAAACCTAGGCTTCCAGATCACCATTAACAGGAAAAACAAACAGACAAAAAGAGCGAAAATAACTGTCCCTTGGCTATAGAGGACAGCACTGAAATCCTGACTGTGGAAACCCAAAAGGCATTTAAAGATCTAAACCAAGCAGTTGTGGAAGCTCCCTTATTAGCCCTGCCAGACTACAACTAGCCTTTTATATTATATCTACAGGAATAGGCAGTTGGCCCAGAAACATCTGCAAGCTGTAGCACATTGCTCAGCAGAACTAGACCTCATAATTCAAGGCCAGATTTCATGTGTCAGGGCTGTTGCAGCAGCAGCTGTGATGATTGAGTGTAATGGATCTGCCTGAGCTGCAGCCCTCACCGTGCTGTGCGGTGGGAGCTAGATAACACACCAGTGTTTTGAGTACTGCTGAGCCGGGCTCACATAGCACCAAGGCTGTTTCCCCAACGTTTCCCCAGTAGGCTGGTGGTGGGTAAAAGCTTGGGAGGGGCTATAGCCAGGATAGCTGACCCAGACTGACCAAAGGGATATTCCATCCCACATGACGTCTGCTCAGCAATATAAGCTGGGGAAAACAAGAAGAAGGGGGGGACATTCGTTTCGCGTTTGTCGTCTGGAGCAACCGCTACGCGTACCAGAGCCCTGCTTCCCAGGAAGTGGCTGGACATCGCCTGCTGATGGGAAGTAGAGAATAAGATCTTTTGTTTTGCTTTTGCTTCCGCACACAGCTATTTGCTTCGTTAAACTCTCTTTATCTGACCCACGTGCCTGTTTTATTTTCTCTCCCCTGTCCAGCTGAGGGGGTGAGAGTGACAGAGTGGCTTTGGTGGGTACCTGGCATCTGGTCAGGGCCAAACCACCACATTGAGGGAGCAAGAAATATTGTCCTGGGGCCCCTCCTAATGCTGATGGCTCTCTGCATACTTTTTAGCCCTCCTCTCCAGAGTTCAAGAAGCTGCGGATGTGCCACAGTTGGGAAGTACATTGATTTACAGCAATAAACAGAGATAGTCGTTGGCTTCTTTGACCGAACTTCCCATAAATGCAACAAGATACACTCAAACACCCTGAGATGTCCCTCCCTTCGCTGGCGCTGCAGCTCAGGTAGCGGAGTGCCACACGGCAGAGCCCGCTGCACCTCCCCCAGGCTGTTGTGCCCTGGCTGGCTGCTGACAGGAGGGGACACTGGGTGGTGACAGCCTGGGGGGTGGGAAGAGGGATACTAGGCAGTGACTGGCCCCAGGGGTGGCAGAACATCAAGCGGTGTTGGGCCCAGGGCTGTTGGGAGAGCCACCACAGACCCAGGGGCTGACAGGAGGTGACACTGGATGGTGAAGGCCCAGGCAGTGACAGGAGGTCACCACGGATCTGGGGGTGACAGGAAACTGGGCAGTGACAGGCCCAGGGGGTGACAGGAGGGACACCACAGACTTGGGAATGGCAGGGCACTTGGCAGTGACAGACCCAGGGGGTGACAGGAAGGATACCACAGGCCCTGGGGCTGACAGGAGGTGATGCTGAGTGGTGAAAGCCCAGGGTGTGACAGGAGGAACACCACAGCCCTGGGGGTGTGACAGGAGGGACACTGGGCAGTGACAGGTCTGGAGGGTGACAGGAGGGACACCACAGACCTGGGAGTGGCAGGACACTGGGCAGTGACGGACCTGGGGTGTGACAGGAGGGAAGCTGGGCAGTGACAGGCCCAGGGGGTGACAGGCCATCAAGCGGTGATGGGCCCAGGGCTGTTGGGAGAGCCACTACAGGCCCAGGGGCTGACAGGAGGTGACGCTGGGTGGTGAAGGCCCAGGCAGTGACAGAAGGTCACCACAGACCTGGGGATGTGAGAGGCTACTGGGCAGTGACAGACCCAGAGTGTGACAGGCCCAGGGGGTGACAGGAGGGACACCACAGACCTGAGGGGGGTGACAGGACACCGGGCAGTGACAGGCCCAGGCGGTGACAGGACGTCGAGCAGTGATGGGCCCAGGGTTGTTGTGAGAGCCACCACAGGCCCAGGGACTGACAGGAGGTAACACTGAGTGGTGAAGGCCTGGGCAGTGACAGGAGGGACGCCACAGACCTGGGGGTGTGACAGGAGGGACACTGGGCACTGACAGGCCCAGAGTGTGACAGGAGGGACATCACAGGCCCAGGACCTGACATAAGGTAACGCTGGGTAGTGAAGGCCCAAGCAGTGACAGAAAGTCACCACAGACCTGGGGGTGTGACAGGACAATGGGCAGCGAGAGGCCCAGGTGGTGACAGGACACAGGCCTTTTGTCATGAAGCGCTGGGTGATGGAAGGCGCAAGGGTGCGGCTGTGGCACGCCATGGCATGTGTGTGGTGACGCGCTCGTGGCAGCCCGTGCCATTGGCGTCTGGGAAACCTCTCGGCGGAAAGCTGAGGCGAGGCGCCCGAGTTGCCAGAGCGAGCGGTCGGGCTGGGGAGCGCGGTGTGTGAAAGAGGGAGCGGAGGCCGAGCTAGGGCCGCAGGGGCCTCTCCCTGTTGTCCACCCGCCTGCCCGGGCTGCCAGGAGGAGCACACACCATGTCGCATGTCCACTACAAGTTCTTCTCCAAGCTGAACTATGATATGGTCACCTTCGATGGCCTCCACATCTCCCTGTGCGACCTCAAGCGCCAGATCATGGTCTGTGAAAAGCTGAAGGTGGCCAACAGCGACCTGCAGATCACCAATGCCCAGACCAAAGAAGGTGCGTCAGGGCAGCGGGTGTGGGGCCTCAG